GATATTAACTCACATTATTTTGTTTATTTGAATATATTCAAGGGCGAGGTAGATAGCTCGCTCTACCGCCAAGAATATTGTGGCGTTGTTCGGTAGCCGGCAACCTTATCATTATCTTTTGAACCATCAGTATATAAATGTAGAAATGTTTTACATTTTAACTGCAATTTCGAGAAGGATAAACGAAAGGTGCACCTGTCAGTGTCTAATATAACCATTTCATGACGTGAAAAGTCATCGTCAGGTGAATTCAAGAGCCAAGGGTGGAATTTCTATCGTTCCAAATGACTGAATTTGGTCAAAATTAATATTTTTGTTCGTAAAAGAAAGGAAATCTGAATACCGAATGGTGAAATGGTCTTTGGTTGCTTTTGAAAAAGGTTTTATATATGGAATCAAATATAAGTGAAAAAACATGATTTGAAGGATTTGACTTAAGCTCAATGGTGTATTTCAAAGCCAATTTATTTTGACGGCTATATAGTGATCGTTCTCTAGCCTCTACACAGAGGCTTGCTGTAGGTATCGACTTAAAAGCTCCGAGAGCGAGCCTCAGACCCTGGTGATGAACAGTGTCAAATACCATGCAATGAAGACTAATTTCCGAAATTTAGTTCCCAAAACACACATAGCGCTTTGTGTTCCCATTGATCGGTTTTGAAGAAAACAGTTGTTTCAGCCAAGTAAAAATTCAAATGGCGAGGTCTTTGGCATAATTATCACTTTATATGGGAACATTAATAGATAGGTCCGAACATACACAGTATGATTCATGGTATTCGTTGACGCTTGTTGACACAACCACCTTCGGTACCAGGAATCCTCGCAAACTCGTTGAACCAATGGAAAGACTTTCTCATTCAAAAGGTAGTACTTAGTTTTATGATCTAATAAATCCGATCAATAAATCATAATAATGAGAGGGAGATCCCAAATTGTATGAGATAATGGCATTCGATCTAACCGCAAATACCGTTAATGGTGTTTAATGTTCCTGTTCGATTAAATCGATATCAGTGCCAACTGTTTCTGTTGTTATTGTGCAAATGAATTAGTAAGTAATGTTTCAGTTACCATACGTAAACATCGATAACGATTAAGGTTATCATGCAATCAATTTGACAAACAGCTTTATTTCAATCACAGCTATTGGAAAGCTATTTTTATGGACATAAAGAAATTGGATGTACACACAGTTTTCCACAACATTTTGTCAGTAAAGTCATGCTACACACATCATTATATCATATGTTATACAGAGAGAATTTGAAGTGTCATATAGGTAAATGTTGAAACTTGTGACTTTTGATACAGTTACCTGTACGAATAATGATATATTTGTCAAGTACAATAACGAGACTCATGCTTTACATATTGAGTCTTACAGATAAAGTTTTATGTTCAATTACAGCTATGGACATGTTATTTTTAATAAGGTAAAGAGAAAGGAGGATAAAGTCAGGATACATATAATATAAATTAGAACGTATGTAAATCAATACAAACATTTAACAAGTATCAAGATAGTGCGATATATAACACAAACGTTAAATTCCCTGCTACAATCATCATTAGAAAGAACACTAAACAAAATTTGTCAATCAGTCTGCCGAAGTCTTTTACAAGAATATCTCCAACGTTTTTGTCTTTATTCAAATCTCTGTGATTCTCGGGTAACACGGGAGGAAGCGAATCGGTGGTACTTACAGTATCAGCGGATTTGTTGTCGAGTGCCACCTGGTGGTCATCTTCTTTTTGTCTCCTTCGTCTTCCACAGAGGAAAAGATTGAGAGATACAACTTTGATTAATCGCGAAAGACAACCGGAAATTCTCTCATTTTCGTCTTCCGCCAAATGGAATCTAAGTCCAATTGTAGTGAAGAAGAGAATGAGTGCACTGTAGGTGACATTACAGATAAGGTACTGGGTGAAGATCGACACTGGATTTGTGACAGGGAGTTTCTCTGATATCAACGTCATGTACACAGAAAACGAGAGAAACATGGTGACGGAGAAGGACACTCTCTCCCCGGACTGTGGGGGTAGAAGGAATACTGTTATATTGAGCAAGCACAGGAGGACAACTGGTGCCAGTAGATTAAGGATGACGAATTCCGGTTTTCTTTTGAACTCAACTCCGAATGCCAGCCGGCTGTATCGTCTTGTATCGTCTTTATAGGTGTAGAAATTAGTGGCCTCCCACTGCGAAACCATTATCAATTTAGAAACATCGGTCAGAATGAATGGTTTAAGGTTAAGCTCTGTGACGAAATAATCAGGTGTATACATTTTGATGGTGCAGTTATGGCGATCAAACGGATATAAACGCATGTCAGGTTGACAAATTGTGCTCGTCCTTATCGCAACCGTAAAGAAATGGTTGCCTTTAGAAGTACAACGAATGGTTCCGTGTTCGTATTCCTTCCTGATATCAGTACTTCCAGTCGGGTTATCGAAAGCAAGTACCGGATTCCATATATTTGCACTGTTAAGAATGATGTAAGATGTATTGTATAAAGATTGATCCCATTTCATCATTTCATTGACCCACGCAGTTGTAAATCTGGAGCTTGTCACTAACTCTCCTGTGACCTCGTGGAAGGCATTGATGCTCTGTAGGTCCCAGTATACATATACCATTACTTGTTGTCTTTGATTATGTATGGGACGAAAATCTTTGCTGTAGTTTTGTAGCAATGAATGCTGTAACTCGGTAACAGATGTATAGGTTAGATCAAATTCAATAGCATCACTGTGCACATTAAAGCACGTAAAACATGCAAAAATAACCACGTTTTCCCACATATTCATGGTATGATTCGTGGTTGTCGCCGATGCTTGTTGATGATACCAACTTCAGTACTTGGAACCCTCATACACTCACGATCGAAAGTATCGGTTATGTGAAACGACAACTTTCCCTTTACAGATAAAATGACTGTCACTATAATAGAAATGGGAGGGAGATTTCAAATTGCATGAGGCGAAAAAGATACCAATAATGACTTTCGATTCAAACGTAAATATCGCTAATGGTGTTTAATGTTCCTGTTCGATTAGATCGATATCAATGTCAACTGTATCTGTTGTTATTTAGCAAATACCTTAGTGAGTAATGTTTCAGTTACCCTACGTCAATATGGATAGCAATTAAGGTTTTTTATCGAGTCAATTTGTCAAATGCCGAGTGTAGCCATAGTGAGGTAAGAGTTCTCTCCCGAACTGGAACTCTCGGAATGTAAGATAATGAAGTGGGAATGTTCTGTAACAGATAGTTACGTACTATGTTCCGCATAGAGCGAACCGAGCTCCGTACTGCGATCCGAGTAGCCCCTTTGAGTTTATAGTGGAACTCTTCTGTGTTTGTTCGTCAAGCAAAGATTCGGACAGACAACTTGTTGCGAGTTTGTTAGGCCATAGGTAAACTTGTCAAATGTGTATAAGTCAGGTAATTTAGTAAGATACAGGTTATGTCCATAATGCTGTTTGAACAATCGGTAATATGCCGATACCGAGTTTTAGTTCAATGCAAAGTTGTAAATCACAACAGGTCATTTCATCTCCTATTTTAAACACGAAGTTCTGTCGTTACAGTTAAGAATCGTCCATGTTAAGCTTTATCAAGTAAATCCTCCAAAGATATCAATTCATATTTTTGTGAGATAATACGCTGTCGCTGGTCAAATTGTAATTCTGTTTTATTTCTGTTCGTTTCAGTTTTTCACTCACTTTTTACTTACACTACAACGGTAATAAACCAACACACAAAGGCAGATTTTCGGGTTTTATTGTTGTCGCTCCGTCTCCCATACCAGGATAGGGAACGTCTGGAATATGTCAACATGCATTATTATCACAAGGTGGTTTTACATGTTAAATTGGGAAGTGTTCTCGAGACATATGTGTCTATAAGACTAAGTAGGTAAGTTTATTCTCAACTTATCATCGACCTGTAAGTTTTTGTTTATAAATGTACCGGGATATAGGCGACAGAACAATCAATTGTTGGGTCGGGTTTAGTCGATTTTGTTCAGTTGATTAACTAGTATTAGAAGTAAGAAACATTTTATTTGATTGTACAGTTTCACACAGAGTTTCAATTTAGCTGCTACAATTGCCAAGTAACGATTGCAATTAACATCTCAGTTATAGAACGTAGGCTTATGTCCTGTTTTCCGGATGCTTGTTCCTCTTGATAATTGTTGTGTTAATCAAATCAGTGTGCGCACGTGCGCGTGCTATATGACGTAAATCAATGTTATACAAAGTGTTACATCGTTAATGTTGAAACATTTGACATTCAATACCGTTAACGTTACGAATATTGATTGTTTTTCAAGTACAATAACAAGACTAATGTTGTATACTGTATATTGAGTCAATCTCAAACACAGTGTTATTTCAATCACAGCTATGGGAAAGCTATTTTATGGACATATACAAAATGGATGTACACACAGTTTTCCTCAATACTTTGTCTGTAAAGTCATGCTACACATATCACCATACCATATGTTATACAGAGATAATTTGAAGTGTCACAAAGGTAAATGTTGAAACTTGTGACTTTCGATACATTTACCTGTACGAATAATGATATATTTGTCAAGTACAATAACGAGACTCATGTTTTACATATTGAGTCTTACAGATAAAGTTTTATTTTCAATTACAGCTATGGACATGTTATTTTAATGACGTAAAGAGAAAGGAGGATAAAGTCAGGATAAAAAAGATGAAAAACATATTGAGTCTTACAGATAAAGTTTTATTTTCAATTACAGCTATGGACATGTTATTTTAATGACGTAAAGAGAAAGGAGGATAAAGTCAGGATAAAAAAGATGAAAAACATATTGAGTCTTACAGATAAAGTTTTATTTTCAATTACAGCTATGGACATGTTATTTTTAATAAGGTAAAGAGAAAGGAGGATAAAGTCAGGATACATATAACATAAATTAAAGCGTATGTAAATCAATACAAACATTTAACAAGTATCAAGATAGTGCGATATATAACACAAACGTTAAATTCCCTGCTACAATCATCATTAGAAAGAACACTAAACAAAATTTGTCAATCAGTCTGCCGAAGTCTTTTACAAGAATATCTCCAACGTTTTTGTCTTTATTCAAATCTCTGTGATTCTCGGGTAACACGGGAGGAAGCGAGTCGGTATTACTTACAGTATTAGCGGATTTGTTGTCGAGTGCCACCTGGTGGTCATCTTCTTTTTGTCTCCTTCGTCTTCCACAGAGGAAAAGATTGAGAGATACAACTTTGATTAATCGCGAAAGACAACCGGAAATTCTCTCATTTTCGTCTTCCGCCAAATGGAATCTAAGTCCAATTGTAGTGAAGAAGAGAATAAGTGCACTGTATATGACATTACAGATAAGGTACTGGGTGAAGATCGACACTGGATTTGTGACAGGGAGTTTCTCTGATATCAACGTCATGTAGACAGAAAACGAGAGAAACATGGTGACGGAGAAGGACACTCTCTCCCCGGACTGTGGGGGTAGAAGGAATACTGTTATATTGAGCAAGCACAGGAGGACAACTGGTGCCAGTAGATTAAAGATAACAAATTCCGGTTTTCTTTTGAACTCAATTCCGAATACCAGCCGACTGTAATCTGTTGTATCGTCATTATAGCTGTAGAAATTAGTAGCCTCCCATTGGGAAACCACTATTAATTTAGAAACATCGGTCAGAATGAGTGGTATTAAGGCAATCTCATGAATTAGATAATCAGGTGTATAAATTATTATGGTGCAATTATGGCGATCAAACGGATATAAACGCATGTCAGGTTGACAAATTGTGCTCGTCCTTATCGCTACCGCAAAGAAATGGTTGCCTTTAGGAGTACAACGAATGGTTCCGTGTTCGTATTCCTTCCTGATATCAGTACTTCCAGTCGGGTTATCGAAAGCAAGTACCGGAATCCATATATTTGCACTGTTAAGAATGATGTAAGATGTATTGTATAAAGATTGATCCCATTTCATCATTTCATTGACCCACGCAGTTGTAAATGTGGAGCTTGTCACGAACTCTCCTGTGACCTCATTGAAGGCATTGATGCTGTGTAGTTCCCAGAAAACATATATCACTACTTGTTTTCCTTGATTATGTATGGGACGAAAATCTTTGCTGTAGTTTTGTAGCAATAAATGCTGTAACTCGGTAACAGATTCATAGGAGATGTCAACAACATGACCCTTTTTCTCTTTACAATTTACATGAAAACACACAAAACAGGCAAATATGAATAGAAAGGTCCACGCATTCATAGTGTAATGCCTACGTTCGTTGTTGTTTGTCACCATTGCTGACACGTCTCTATTGCTCACTCGATGTGTAACTTCAAAATAACGGGTTATATGTACATACAGTGTATTTGATTTTTTGACAAAATGTCTGTAAGGTATGAGTTATAGAAATGATAAAGAGGGCGCTTTTAAGTTCTACCACGCAGAACAAATATCAATAATGCCATTCAACAAACTATATCTATAAGGAAATATCGTTAATGTTGTTGGGTTATTCCGTTCCATTATTGACATCAACTGTTATTGTTATTCTAGAGCAAATCAATAAGCAGTTAAAGATTCGATTACCCCGTGTTAACATGGGTATCGACACGGGATTGTATTTACTGATTAAAAACAAAGAAGTCGTCAATGTAAATGTTATACTATCTTTACTATATCTGACATCCAGGCAGCCAGAAAATGATTGTTAAACAGTATTTCATTTAAAGTTACAGATTTTTTTGTGGGTGTCGTTGTTAAATTAATCTTATCACTGAGTTAAATAATAATAAAAAAAAAAAACCCCAGAAAAGACAAAAGAAAGAAAACGGAAAAATATCAACACATAATTATAATCCAAATTCAATAGATCTAGGGCAAAATTTGAACAAAAGAAAGATTTAGGATTTTGTCCGGCAATTGAAGATTTCATGGATGGATAACGTGATAATTAGAACAGACTCATGAATATCGAATCTACTGCGATATGTTAACACGATAGGATGAGGATGAAGGTGTGTTGCACTCCAGAGAAGGAAAATTCACAATAGGGAAAGTAAAATCATCACACTTATACAACCTATTGGAAAGTTGTTCATACTGGTTTCATTGTCGGAAAAGAACGAGATAAGCGGCTGATGTAGTAGAGCTGTTCTTTTCCTTAAATTCTATTTCTGTTGGGGTTTATACGATTAATTGCGTCAATATATTTCTTGTTATCTGAACTATGCCAATATATCCGAAATAGTTATTTAAAAACTTTATATGGCCTTTGTGACTTGTTTTAATAAGATCATTTTTCTTATTTCGTCCTATTTAGACATATTGTTTTGCAGGAAATGCACTTCAGTATAGTTAATCTGTCTAAAAAAGAAAGCTCTTAAGAAGAGAACGAAGGCATTCTTCCAGTTTTCTTAGCATTGGTATGGTGGTGTGCAGAGTGGAAACATCAAATGTTTTTGTATAAGAGTATGTTTTACAAAAGAGTTTTGAAGATCGGTCAAAAGCCTTGTCGAGTTCTTAGTATTGACAAAGGTTTGGTTGAGGAGCTAGACGAGCCAGCATTAAAACGTCGTTTATATAGATTCTTGTGAAATGTTGGAATCCAATATATACGGGAGAGGTCCGTATCCTTATCATCTTATCATTAATAGGTAATCTAAATAATTGTAGTACCAAAGTATGGTGAACAAGTATTTTTTCTTTGGAAAAATAGCATACTGTATAGACGAGATACCCTCCGTTATCAAACAATCCTTGTTCTTTTTCGTATGCAGGAAATGAAATAATGTTTGCAGACAAGGATCAAGTTGTTGGACCCCTTATCAACAGGCACAATAACGTACTTGTCATGTAAATCTTGAAATATGGGTTTAACATCAGAATCGAGGAAAGTTGACAGGTGTTTTGTTTCTATTTTAGATTTCAGGCAGCTAAGCCTTTTCAAAATGGATTTAACCCGCCCAGAAAGTGAATCTCGTTTCGCCCAATCTTTGGCATATTTTGAACGGAAACCATGAGTATCTTGAAAATCTATTCCAATCAACGGGCAGGGCTTTGCGATACTTAAGCTGTCGTAGCTGAACAGTTTGAATTAAGCTTTATTCACCAGATACTTTGTGCCTAGTAGGACCATAGTTATAAGTAGAAGTAGAATACGACCGAGCTGACAAAGGAGTACTTCTTAGGTCATCTACATTCAGTTCTTGCAGCATTCATTTGTAGTTGAAAAGTTTGGATGTAAATGGTTTGGGGTTACTGTAGGAAATCACAGGGGTATTTCTGCTGAAAGTATGGAGAAATGTTAGCTAAAACAGACTTCTGGTGTAAAATAGCGCTGATGTTAAAAGCATCCATTCCCTTATATGCAAATTCAACTTTTACATTTAAGATTATAGATTTAAAAACATGTTTTGACTACATGAAAACCTGTCGAAACCAATAAAAAAATTGATTTAATAACGCAAATTCCAAATTGATGAATTAAATGTGATAAAAGAGTATAATGCATTATATCAAACCTTTCTTCATTACATGTAAATTTAAGCATTGCTTCGTGACTTTTTATGGCTTGTTACTGTTATATTATATTTGTTCACGTATATCCTTAAAGCTACAATCTGAGTATGAAGCGCATGAAAACTATATAACAAGCCAGTGTAATCTAATGGACAGGTGGGTGTCGGATGTAAAATGGATTAATGATTGTTTAATGCCGGTAGAAATCATACGCAAATGACTGCAGTGTGTTTGTAAACTTTCTAATTAGTGAACTTTTAATAAGATGTGCTCGTTATGAACATAGCATTGTGTGTTCGGCGGAGGCACGATAAACTTTAATTGGTGTCAGGACAAACGATTTACGCACGTGTTGATAATTTAATGATTCCATATATGACGGTTTAAATTAGATTTCATTCTAAATCAGTATAAAGTGTCTCATGTTTTGTTTGAGATGTTAAAAAAGAACGACATTGAAGTCCAAAATAGGCAAATAAGTTCAAACCAGTGCATTTTTTGAAAATTGGACCATGGAATCACTCTGTGCTATCGCCAGGTGTCTCACAGACTCTTTTAGTGACACAAAAAGGCCAAATTCTCATTATATTTCAGTATCTTAATTTGGGTGTTTCTAAACTGAGGTTTTCAAGTAGACCACGTCATTGTGTTGTTTCAGAGTAAATATGTGTATGTTAATGCATATCTTATCTGATAGCATATTAGGAAGTTCAACAGTAAAATATAGATGAAGATTGTGTGATCCTTACTGAAATTTAAAGGAAGAAATCATGGATCCTAGACGACGGTTAAGTAAGCACAATGACAATGTGTTAACACTTTCGTTCCTCAAGCACAGGGTACATAAGCAAACGTTGTATAGCGTTTCGATACAAGTCACTTTACACATGAAGTAGGTAACATCGACAGTTCCATTTCAAATCCTTTTAAGCAAGGTTGAGGTAAAATGCAGTAGGGAATGTCCGTGATGTATTCGTAAACTCAGGTCGCCAAGATGGGATATCTGTAAATGGTTTATCTGATATATGTGGCCCCGAATAAGGTAATATTTTTTCACATCCCATTTTGCATTACTTACTGTAAATATATAAATAGAAGGTAGCGATATCGAATATAACCTTGGCAATGTAATGAAGGTGTTTTACAGACTAGGATGAAAAGGAAATGTATAATTATATTGAAATATCCAATATGTTAGTAATAAGATGTAATCAATAACTCGCCATCCTGTATAGATTTATATCAAAGCGACAACATTAGTGTAATGGCGGTACTTACAATGTCACTGATTATACATATCAGAGACAGGAAACACATTTGAGGTTCACAAATCAATCAGTATCATGTTCAGCACTTAACGAATCATAATATGTACAATATAGTTTACTTCTATAAGGATGTATAATGAATGAATGAATGAATGTATGAATGAATGGTATTTGTTGTGCTGTTTCCGGACAGGATTCAAATATAACCCAATTTCCATTAGTGAAATATTAACCCTGAACTATATGTAAACATATAACCAAAATGCATTTGATGTAATAGATCGTTGAAAAGAACCGACATTGTCTACTTTATTTGGTGTATTTCCGGTACACAGACAGTGATGGTTCATTGTCGGATGTCATAAACGAGGTTACCAGTATTAGTATGTCTGTCTATTAACGAACATAAACGGAATTTTCTCAGCTGCTTCAATTGTGCCAATCAGCGCTTAATCTGAACCATTGACCATGTACTGGGCACAAAAAGTTTGGAGGCTCTTTTTAAAGGTAAATTTATTTGTATCGAAAGGCAAAATCTTTTGGAATAAGCAATATCAGAATGAAGTCAAGCAATAAGAAAACGGTTTTTCCCCACTTTGAATACATTGCATTGAAGCGTATGATTACATAAAATGTTCAAATCCTTCTAAAACAAATATAAAATCTCGATGGCGCTGAAAATTCAAAATGTTCCAGTTGGTTGCTTAACATGCCCCATGCATGCTCGATCAGGTTAAGGTTGGGTGAAAGACTAGGTACTTGAAGGTACTTTTTCAAAAGTGAATCTCTATGTGGTCGAGAACTGTCGTCCATCAGCACAATCTCAGGGCCGACACCATGCGCAAAGGCTCTTACCATTGAATGAAGTACTTCATTCCGGTATCGTAAACCTGTGAGCCTCCAGTCACGTACAAGTCAGTCCGACAATAAAAACCCCCTCTAAACATTACCAAGCCCCAACCGAAACGGTCATGTTCAGTGACGCATCAGTCAACATACCTCTAACTCAAACCCACGCCAAACACGCCTCCTGTCATGTTGAAATCTGAACTCATCTTTTAAAATGATAGGTGTCGTTGACGTAGCCGCCAATTCACAAAGGCAGCTGCCCAATGCTTCCACGCTATGATATGTGTGAGTCATACCACGGGTCTGTGAACACGTAATCCAGAACGGTGAAATCTATTCCTCAGTGTTTCTTCAGAAGGTCTTCTTCCTGTTGCTTGACAAAAGTCGCTATTCAACCTTTAGGAACATGCAAAACCGATTTCTGATAATACGTATATGAATAACGATTCTGAAGGGCTTTCCAATTCGAAATCGATTCCAAGATCGAGAAACGACACTGTGACCACATTGAAGTGTGCAGCTACAGTCATTTATGATTGTCCTGCATACAGTATCCCAATTGCTCGGGCAGCATCTGAAGCTGACGTCTTCCTGTAATAAATGTTATGGTCTTGCCGCACATTTCTTGAAAGTTGTGCGGTCATACCTGAAAGTTATTGTGCATACATTGGTGATAAAACAGTTGTCAAGGATCCTCAACTTTATTAATCTAAATGGCAGAATAATCACTTTTATTTGTGATCCCTACCATTTTGTGTTCATCATACAGATAATGAACTCTCCTTGTCGACTAACAATACTGACAAACACATTATCGTAATGCTAAGCGGCATTTCCGTCTACCTGAGTATTTTGTCATTATCCTTTTTGTCTTTAGAATGTCATTTGCCATATCGAACACTTTGACGTTTGAATTATCTGCTGGCATTTTTGATAATCATCTTCTTCAGAACTATAGCAATCATCTCCGTCTAACTAGATATCAACCTGACCCAATTTTCATATCTATTGAATGAAACGTTTTTTCCATCATATTTTACTATTACATAGATTGATCAGTTTATGCGCTGCAATGTGTTCGCTAACAAAGTCTTTTATGTGACGTTTGACTGAACAAGTGTGAAATCAATTGCTTACGCTAAACAACGCAATCAGAAATACCACAATGAAGACAAAGTTTTGGACGGTAAAGTTCGAGGTGCTGCTAATGGAAATACTAGCTTGTTCCTTTTACAATGATAACCTGCCTTTAGAATGATCTTTCAATGAGGTCATCATAACGAGCCTTCGACACCGATTGTCTTGCTCTGGGAAGCGTGTGTCAATATTTATAAATATAGGTTGTTTCTCTCGTTTTCTGTATACATGACGTTGATATTAGAGAAACTCCCTGTCACAAATCCAGTGTCAATCTTTACCCAGGACCTCATCTGTTATGTTGTGTATAATGCATTTATTGTCTTCTCTATTATAGTTAGACAGAAATTTCATATGGCAGAGAATGAAGAGCGAATCCCTATTTGGAATTCACAAAAAATCGTTTATCAATGAAAACGTGTCGCAAACAAGAAATCTAAGAAATAATGGAAGAATTGCAACATTGATAAACTAGTTAATGTGAGCAGCAGGGGGTTTGATTTTAAGGTTGAGGACAGATCCATTAACTACGGTAACGCAAAGGGAGTAAGGTGGGATGATGGACAGAGTGTTGCTATTGTCCTTCCTTGTACTTCTGATGACTGCAATTGTAAGCTGTGCTGTTTATATTACATCATTTCCAAAATACATTCAACAACGGTTAGCCTGGTACTGCTGTTCATCTCCAATACAAATACGATGCATACATTCAATGTTGTGTATATTACACCATCTTATCAAGACACTTCACTACGGTTAACCTGGTACTGCTATTCATCTCCAATACAAATATCATATGTCACTTCTACTGATAAACAAAATGTCTTCAATACTACCTGCGTACATTACCACGATATCACAATGTAGATTTAACTCATCAAAACATTCTGTTGTTCATTTAAGGATTGAATCTTGTTTATGTCGATTTCATGAGATGATGAATTGAGTTGGTCTTGAGACAAATTCAACATGAACTGCTTCGCAGATCATTAAATTTGTCTCAAGACCAACTCAATTCATCATCCCATGAAATCGACATAAACAAGATTCAATCCTTATATTTCAATTCACGCTTCTTTTTTCTATAGTATGGGAACTGACTTCTTCTTTCATTTTCGTTTCTTGTCATCATATCGTTTGACGTGATACAAGCAAATAGTCAGTCATTTGAAGACAGATTATTGTGACAGGTTGAAATATATTTCAGCGTGGTTACTTCATATTCAATGAAACTTAAATAAGAACAATATTTAATATATTTTGTCGACAACTTTAATGAAAATTTAGATAATACTGTGCAACAAAGACAGTATGCATTTTTTCCGCGAAATAATAACGTCTAGACGTGGTGCGCCGGCTCGCAAACGAAGCGATGTCGGCCATTTTTTTACAGGCACCGAAGCGAACAAGAAATATCAGGCTTCAGTCGCTTCACATCTTTTGAAACGTAAAGTTACAGTTATTAAATGTTGAAGTAGTTTCATTGAGTCTGGTTTGGGTAGAAATTGAAATATTGATTGTTGTTTTGGGTTAGTTTCATACACATGATTTAATTAGGAATAAGGAATAAGGAATAAGGAATTCCCATTATACTATTTCACCTCGAACTTTACCAGAGCTTTCACTACACTTCACTTAGTAGCTCATACTCAGCGATCACTATTAGGTATTTATTATGTTACGTAAATACTCTACGTACTATATCTACAATTTGTCTATGGTCTCCAAACAGGATATTTCTCATTCTCAACACACTTTTCCGCAGTTCTACCTTGCTTGACGATACATACATTTCTACATTGCTTGAGAATAAACACATTTCTACCTTGCTTGAAGATACACACCTTTATGCCATGCATAGAGATACACACCTTTTTACTATGCTTGAAGATACACACCTTTCCAGCATGCAAGGAGATAAACGTAAAACCTAAATAATGTCGAGTTAAATGCAAACTTAAGTAATATTTATGTATCATGGGTAAAGAAAAGAGGCATTAACATCGACCTTATAGCATTCGGACAGAATGCAATAAAAATCCAGTGTTAATTCAAGTACTATCATTAGGAGTTTTTCGTAATAAAGAGTTATCTGTTCTTGGGAGTGTGTATTTGTTGTTTCTTTATTAGTCTACTCGAGAAAATAACATGAATGAATGAAGTAACAATTAATACCTGGTCACACAAGCAGATAACCTCCATTACGAAAAGACGGAATAAGGGGCACACAACTCTGTAATTGACAGTTCCTAATTAATCTAGCTACTAGTTCATATACTAAATTTGTTCTATGTCATTTTGTGAAACATCGCGACTGCATAATCCTGGTTAGGAAGCTTTACAACCCGGCCTTACTTGCTGTTAGAATGATAACTATATCAGGGGGGATATTTGCATGACAATTGAGTAAATGTGTCAAGCCTTTTTCGTCAAAATACACATTAGATAAATTTTTTCTCACCAGCTTAACTCTTTGGCTTAGGTTTCATTTTGTCCTTTCAAAGGGCTAACCAGGTGAATTTTAAACTACCGAGTGGCTTCTTATACAGTATATTTGACGGCTCTAGGTTGGCTGGATTATCATACCGCGGTATCTGACAGAAACAAATCTTAACAACTTTGTATTTTCAAATTTATTACATGCGACATATTCTTGGTCTTTACGTCCTATGCTTGAGAGGTGATGACTGAAAATTCACATGCACTTAAACAACAACTTATTTAATGAATAAAAAAAACAAAACGAAAAACAAAACGAAAAACAAACAAACAAAAAAAAAACAAAAAACAAAAAACAAAACCAAACAAAAACAACGTGATGTAAGATTTCCGGCACAAAGATGAGCCGGATAACTGTCAAACTCAGTAGCAATCTGGAAAATATGAAAGTAAATGGAGGTAAATGGCACAGCATCTCTTATTTGGAAAACTTACTGAATTGCTGTAATGGGGTGATATAATACCGAAAAATGTTTACAGTTTGATCACTTTTGGAGATCGTGACGACGTTAACATTTTGATTACTGCTGACACCCGTGACGACGTTTACAGTTTTATAACTGTTGACTACCGTGACAACTTTAACAGTTTGATCACTGCTGAAGATCGTGACAACTTTAGCAATTTGATCACTGTTGAAGATAGTGTCGACGTTTACAGTTTGATTACTGTTGACGACCGTGACGACGTTTACAGTTTGATCACTGTTGAAGATCTTGACGACGTTTACAGTTTGATACTGCTGACAACTGTGACGACGTTTACAGTTTGATCACTGTTGACAACCGTGACGACGTTTACAGTTTGATTACTGCTGACGACCGTGACGACGTTTACAGTTTGATCACTGTTGACAACCGTGACGACGTTTACAGTTTGATCATTGCTGACGACCGTGGCGACGTTTACAGTTTGATAACTGGCTATTAGCACAGTCAGAGTATCTATTTTCAAAGTTAATATAAATCATTACATACGGAAATGTATAAACCTACTTTCAATAATTGTTGGACAATATGGTTACGTTATATTAAACGGAATTAACCCTGCTTTTAATTATCAAATTCTTGTCATTTGGAAATTCCACTTCGTTGGGTGCAATGGCCAGAGCTACGCTCTGATTGATGAATGTAAGGACTACCCAGAACACAGAACAATACAACAACATCAGTGGAATTAAGATAGGAATGGCTTCACAATCGTTACGCACTGAAGTTTATGAATCAATCATTATTGTGTCCAGCACTTAAAGAATCACCGTTATATGTATATAGAGTTTACCTTTATCAGATCACATGGAAGAATGGCTATGGTCAGTCAATTTTCTGGAAAGATTCAACAAAACTCCATTAGTGAAATATAAATCCTAATTGGTATGTTAACAAATAGCCTACTCTTTATTGATATATCAGTTCGCTTCAAAATGCGCTTTTATTATTCACGTATTATTGTATATAGTCACAGTACAAAATACGGGCGATCGATTATTTGTTGATATACCTATATCACGTTGTCATTCTCCATAATAGCTTTGGCCAATATGAATTAAGATATGATCCACTGGCAATAACAGAGATATTCAGATATTCTATAAAGTAACACCCCCATGACATTCAAACACGTTATCGTGTTGCTGAGCAGAATTCTATTCGGTTGGAGGATATGGATATCAACACTTTATTTCTTCTGAATATCATTTGCCATATCACATCTGGTTTGGAATTCACTGTCCTGACATTTAAATCTGCTAGAGAATTCCACAATCAACTTCTTCAGAACTACAGCAAACATCTCCGTCCTGTTTGGAACCAGTATTACCCAATTTATGTTTCTGTTACATGGACTTTTCATTCTATTAATGCTTTTCATGAAATATCAGGAGATCTTGTGAGCACTTCCACTTTTACTGCGACATGGACTAATGAAATAATGCGATGGAACATGTCAACTTCCAAAGTATTTTATGTGACGTTTGAAAGTGGTCAAGTGTGGAACCCATTCCTTATTCTGAACAACCCATCCGGAAATACCAAGACGAAGACAATTTTTTTGGAAGGCAATGTTCGTGGTGGTTACACAGGACAACATATAATATCTGATACAGTGATGACAAGCACATCCTGTCGACCCGATATGAGTTACTATCCGTTTGATCGTCATAACTGTACTATAAAACTTACATCTCCGGATTATTTAAACGAACTGGTGTTGCTTCCGGTCAGTTTAAGTAATCTGTCTACTATTGAAGATGTCTCACAGTGGAGAGTAAATGGTTTCTATACATGTAATGAAACCTCCTACATAACGAGTACGATCGCTTTTGGAGTCATCTTTCAACGAAAACCTGAGTTCATCATTGTTAACCTTCTAACACCAATTGTCCTCCTGTGCTTCATTAACTTAGCAGTATTCCTTCTACCCCCACATTCCGGGGAGAGAGTGTCCTTCTCCGTCACCATGTTTCTCTCGTTTTCTGTGTACATGACGTTGATATCAGAGAAACTCCCTGTCACAAATCCAGTGTCGATCTTCACCCAGTACCTTATCTGTAATGTCACATACAGTGCACTTATTCTCTTCTTCACTACAATTGGACTTAGATTCCATTTGGCAGAAAATGAAGAGCGAATCCCGATGTGGCTTTCAAAAATCACTTACCCTCGAAAACATTTTGAATCCAAGAAAAGGAAGAACAAATTTGGAGATGATATTAATTCAATTCCATGTAATAATGATGCAGTTAAGAGCGACGGAGCGATGGAATTAAAGGATGAAGAAACAATTACCTTGACTACGGTAACGAAAAGGGAGTTTGGTGTGTTGATGGACCGAGTATTCCTGGTGTCGTTCTTTGTGCTACTTGTGACTGCTAACGTGGTCTATGCTGTATATGTTAGTTCATCTTAAAATATATTGGACAGCAATCTCATAGCAGGGAAATATCGAGGTAAGTGGCTAATGTAGAATAATTTGGCGTGTTCTTTATTCCGATTCTGGAGGCCTAAATGGGTAAATGTGTATACGATAGTCGTTGATAGCAAATAGCTGCATATCTAAAAATGAGACATGATAGATATATCTGCATGTATAACTAGATGCAATTGACATTGTCTTACTGACGTCAAGCCATGACATTTAACAATTATAACCGATCGTCTTTATAGTTATATTTAGTTACAGTTTACTAGTAATAGCTGTATATCCGTTTGTCAATACTATGCCCATCCTTCTGAAGACTAAATCTGTGTACGACGAGTCACTGACTTAATATCATATAATCATGATTCCCGTGCAGGAAGTCTTCAATTGACGGACAAACTCGTTACACAGAGTTTCATTAGATGCAATTTGATAAATATTATTGGTTTCCATAGTGATCGCATTGAGAAATATTCTAGTTCTTGTGTGATATGAAGCTTGACGTGTTTGATGCTCGTTAATTTGGCTTTTGGTTTTGTTGTCGTATATCATGATCTCCATTAAGAACGTGACATTAATAATTTTGATTTACCAAGGTTTACAAGACAGATGTCGCCGATGAAGCAGAAAACGCTTAGGGAACACATAGTTAATTTTTTTTTATACTTATTTTTCAAGGGTCTCCGTGTCAATATTTTCTTTGTTCATATTTTACCTAGTTTTATTTGATTTTGTATTAACAT